TATATATATATATATATATATATATATACTTAAATACATACATACTATAAATCAATATATATATATATATATATATATATATATATATATATATATATATATATATATATATATATACTTAAATACATACATACTATAAAAGGCTTATATAAATATATAGGTGTCTATGATTCTCTATCCAAAAGCGCATATTTCTAAATAAGAGCAATTACTTAAACGCACATCAGCATATGTATGTTCCTGTGTATCTGAAAGAAAGCATACATACATATATATATATATATATATATATATATATATATATATATATATATATATATATATATATATATATGCAAGGCTACTTGCAGCAACACGACGCAGTCAGGCAGCTCATTTCTATTGTAGACGTATACAAAAGAGAGTGAAAACACAAAACATCTCCGATGCTGACGCTGTCAGGCACAATCACGCTGTGTGATCCTGTCTAATTCTCCGTTCCAGTGTCAGACGTTTTTTCGACTCGCATTTTTCCCTCGTAAGAATAGCATGTATTTCTTTTCTTTCTTTCTTTTTATCCATTTTTTTTTCTGCAGAGTCGTCTCCCGCTAAATTGGTTCTAATTGTGCAGACATCGATATTCTGACTTCTTCGTTTTCTTTTGGCAAAGTAATCGGCCGAGAACCCAAGCTTTATTTGTAAAGGGAAAGAAAGATAAGGGTTGAATGATTAAGGAAAGATCGTTGTAAATGATAGATATGTGGCAGTCGTGAAGAATGGCGTGGAGGTTATTCGCAGAGATGTGGGAAGGTTTTATTTTTTTTTAAGGAATAATAATAAAAAAAAATTGAACGAATCTTTGAGAATAACAGAATGTCTCCAGAGATTCAGCGAGAATGAATAAAAAAAAATGATCAAATAGAATGTGAAAAGAAGAGAATTTTGTCTTGGCAAACATTATAAAATTCTAAATGTAAAGTAAATGTTCGAGAAGAATCGGTTGGGATAGAAAACGATATATAAAAGCAGAAGAAAGAATTCGGCAAGAGAGAAATAGGTTTCGAATTAGAGAAATCGATGACAAATATTATTGTGACTGAATCCGACGAAAGGTTAAGAGGGAGTGGTGGGTGTTTTTCAAAGATAAATGGAAAACACTGAAAGATTTTACAAAGATCTAAGAGAAACACAAATAAACAGAAAAAAAATTAGGGAAAAAATAGAGTGTGAGAAAGCGTGTCTTTGAAAGTGCTTGGTATTGTTACAAATAGTTCATCACCCATAAGATCGTGTAGATACGTTTGAATTCGTTACTGGAAGGTGAGGACTCGGCAGCTTCTAACCAGATATCGTATTAATATTCCATTCATGTTCACACCTGGCTCTTGTGAAGATAGTGCTTGACAGAAATCAGTTACTTTTTGCATCGTTACGAGGAACAGACCATTTTTCCTAAAACATAACTACTTAGAATCTGTTCCTTCTAATAACATATATAATAAGGAATTATAAAGAAAAAAAAAAAAAATGAACCAAAAAGTTAAAAGAATTATGAAAGGCCCAAATATTTGTAGAACAAAATGTAATTAAAATCAATAGGAGAGACAAATGGCAAAAATATGTTAATTAATTAAAGATATATATATATACTAATTTCCTAATAAATATTGAATATCAACAGAGTGTGTGCATGTGAGAAAATATAACACTTACAAATCTAATCTTGAATACAATAATTTTTGTGGCTATTCAAGACTGATACACACACATACATATATATATATATCGGTCTTGAATAGCGACAAAAATTATTGTATTAGCACATAACAGTGATATATATATATATATATATATATATATATATATATATATATATATATATATATATATATATATATATATATATATATATATATATATCAGTCTTGAATAGACACAAAAAATAATCGTATTCAAGATTAGTTTTGTAAGAATTACATTTTTCTCTCTTTTATCTCATCACACACTTTTTCATATATATATATATATATATATATATATATATATATATATATATATATGTATACGTGCGCAAGTAACTGACTGAGAGAATTATGCGAGATGATTAACAGAAAGAAAGGAAATAGTGTTACCTACGAGTCCAATGTTAAAACATATTGAAGAGATAGAAATGTATTTTTACCGTGTCCTTTAATTTTAAATTGAATTCATAATTCAACAAAGTATATCTCGTCTTTAGTCGTAGTGTTTGGGAAGACGGTAAACAATATGACAAAATCAAATATCACAGGTCAGAATATGTTCAACTTTGAGACTTTCTTCTCTAGAGAAACGAGTAATAAAATGAGTACATGAAAAGGACAAAGAAGCGAAAAAAAATAATTGATATTTTGTGTTTGTGAGAAAGAATAAAAGAGGTGTAGAGTAAAGACAAATATTTAAATGCATTTGTTTCAATGTTAAAATATTGGCTTGTGATCATATGTTTGATATTATACACGTATGGATCAAGATTTGATATTATAATTAAAGTGAAAAAAGTAAAATAAACAAGAAGAAAGAAAATAGCAATGATTGAATGAAAATAAATTTTAAAAAAACAATAAAAATGAATATGATAAAACGATTGTTATATAGATTGAAAGCGAAATAAAAAAAGATTAACGAAGCAAGCAACGAATGAAACAAGAAAGAAAAAAAGAAAAAAAAAGAAAGAAAGAAAAGTAGAAGAAAGCAAAAGCGGCGCAAACGAAAGCAAGAAGGTGATAAACTTGTAAATATAAAAAAAAATACGTGTACGGTGTAATATGTCATAATATATCACTTCTGCAATGTCTTTTTAATCGCCGGGATCCTCGCCTGACCAGACTTGATAGCATTGTTAAAGCCTTAGATAACGGTATACATACAATTTGCACTGTTTACATTGATCGGACTTGTCCTCTTCTTTATTGTCAAGAACACATAGCCCTGACTCGACTGAAGCCATCCAGTGACTTGAACCAAAGTTTTGCGAGTTCAATACCTGGCCACAGGTATGGTGAACAAAAATTTGTCGACTCATTAAAGGGAGATACCTGAAACTGAGATATCCAGAAAAGGCATGGCATGTGGAATTAGAACAATCAACCGCTGGATGAAAATGAGGGTTCGGTTCGAAATTCTAAACTATATCATCTGAGAAAAGTTAGAGCGTACAACAGGCGAAACGTCGTGATTTGACATTAAAGATCAGGACAACAGTCTGAACAATGTAGATAGTGCAAAAAGTTACAATACTTCATATCTGAAATATAGATAGACATGGAAACAAGTTAGCAAACAAAGAAGCAATAATGAAAAAAGGAAAGAAAGTAAGAATAAATAAATAAATGAATATGAAACTGAATGTAGGGGACGAGAAAAAGAATGGAAGAAAGAAAAAGACTTCAAACGGAAAGAATGAAAGAAAAATAGACATTAGTGAAATAAAGCAAGGAGAAAAAAAAAAGAAAGAAAAGTCTATATAACAAAGCAAGCAACCAAAAGAAGAAAGAATAAATAAATAACGAGGGAAACAGCGTAGGGGAAAGTAATTGATGGGAAAAAGAATTAAAGAAAGAAATAGAAAACTAAAAAAAAATTAAAAAAATATGAAAATATCGTAAAAAAACGTGAAAAGGATTGAAGAATCTAGCGACATAGAATGAAAGTTAAGAATAAGAAAAGGAGGGAAAAAATTTCTACAACGGGAAACCTTAAAATAGAAATTGAAAAAATGTTTTAAGAAAATTGTCAGAAGGAAAAAGTAACTGGAAGTTGAGTTTGCAGAAACAAACAGGAAAAAAAAAACTTTAGATTTCAAATATGACAGTCTTCATAAAAGTTCCCAGGATAACCATCTCTTCACAAAAAACAACGTATAGTGTCGTGCAAGTTCAGTTCAAGAGATCATTGTTGGCTCTGAAAAAGGGCACGGTACAAAAGCAAATCCTCAATGCCCCCCCCCCGCTTATCATTTCGAAGTCAGATAAGGCTGAAGGCTTTGCTTAGAACATCGCATCCAACCCGACACTCGACCCATCTAGAATACCCATATATGATTTCCCTTCTAGAACTGAGTCTCTACTGGTTCATATGTACATAAGCCCGATGATAGTCTCAGACATCATTTTTAAGTTAGACACCCATTCTGCATGTAGAGATGACAGAATAACAGCCGTCGTTATAAAGAAATTTCCCCCCACACTGGCTCCAGTTCTCTCCAAACTACGCAACTATTGCCTCGCTGCTTCTTGCTTCCCAGCTTGTTGGAAGTACTAGTCTGTAGTCCCTGCATTTAAAAACGCTGGAGAAATTTCTGACCTCTCTAACTACCGTATTATCAAGTCTGCTACAGATTTTTGTTAAAATCTTCGAGAGTTAAATCAATGCTTAAGTGGGTATGCATCTTACCTCTAAAGACCTCTAAAGACCTAAGACAAACAATATGGATTCCACTTTGGCCGGACTACCGCTGACTTGTTTACGGCTATACCTAAATACGTATATCAAGCTCTTGATAATAACGGTGAATCTCGAACTGAGGCTCTAGATATCTCAAAGGCGTTTGACAATGTTTGACATGCTGGTCCTCGACATAAGCTTCAGAGCTACGTTATTACAGGATGATTTATTATTTATTTAATCCAGTCATTCCTATCAAATTGTGTAATGAAAATCGTTTCACTTCAAATGTGGCTATTCCCCAAATCCTTATCCGGCGTTTTATGCTTATTCTGATCTTCATAAATTATCTTCCTGATGTCATCAATTCCTAAGTAGGCATCCATGTAGATGACATTACCATTTACTCCTGTCTTAACAGTTATTCTGTCAGAGCTGACAAAGTTCACCTGGCTGCTGTTCTTAAAAAAGGACCGCCAATCAGTGGTTAATTGGTTAAGAAATGTGTTGGAAATTTTAATGTCTTCAAAACTAAACCACTCTCATTATACGACCACAGAGAAAATTCTCTGTCCGTCATTAGCATGGTTAATACTAGACTCACTGCTCCTTCTTAGCCTGGCGTTTTCGACTAACTTGAAGTGGAACAAATTCATTAAATAAATAGTGGCATCTACTGCAAGGAAACTGGGTTCCCTGTGTCGTGCTAGAAAGTCTTTTTTCCCATCACACTCTATCTTACACATTTAAAAATCTACCATACGTCCATGCATTGCATACTGTTGCTATATCTGGTCTTGTGCCCCTGCTGTTCACCACGGTGTTCTTGACAAAATCCAAAGAAGCATATGCAAATTAATCGATCCTAAACGGGGCATCGACTCACTCTCTCACAGATGTGATGTGACCTCCCTTTGTCTTTTCTACAAATATTTCTGACAAATTTTTAATATATATATATATATATATATATATATATATATATATATATATATATATCTTACACGACTACATGAGTTTAGTCGTGTTACTAGATTGGCATCTAGGTCCCACCTTCTTACTGTTGAAATATTTAAATGCAACCACCATTTCTATTCAAAAAGTTTATTTTCTTGCATTTCCTCACAGTGGGACTCACTTCTCTTAATTACTTCCCTGATAACTACAATCTTCAAAATTTTAAATGCAACGTCAATCGCCATATTCTGCTGACTTGAACACATTCATCATTTATCTATTCCTCATCCTCCCCAACATACTCAGTATTTTCTCTCGCTTTCACTCTGTGTTATCTCCTGCGTAATAGGGTCACCCCCACCTTGCTTGAGGTGAAATGCTTAAAAATATTAATAAATAAATAAATATCTTGTTTGATTACCTGATTAGTAATTCTTAAGTAATTACCTGATTACCTGATTAGTAATCGTTAAGTAATTACTTGATTAGTAAGTGTTAAGTAATTCGGTCCGAGAATATTTCAGCATATTCGCCATTAAAGAATAAAATAAAAGAAGGAATTGCTCCTTGCGACTAATCCACAGAAAGAAAAAAGTAAAAAATAGTAAAATAGTAAAGGATAATTAAAGAAACGATTAACTTCAGAAAGGTTCGAAAATGGTGGACATAAAATCTGAAAGAAAGGAATTGGTAAAGGTTATTTAGTGGAATGTTGGCGGGCAGGAAAAAAAAGGAAAAAAGAACGACTCAATGACAATTCTAATATATCGGAGTGAAAAATAAAGTTATCATCAGAAGAAAGCTAGAAGATAAATATCAAGATAAGATGGAGCAGCTTAAAAGGCAACCCCCTTGAAAGAACTGAGATTAAGACAATTCTAGAGGAACTAGAAAAAAAATAAAATAATATAAATGAACAAAAAAAAAAAAAAAAAAAACAACTACAAAAGAGAGACTGACAGAGGGAGAGATAGACACCGCAATAATGAAAGAGAGTAGGGGTAAAAAAAGAGAGACATATTTGTTGTTAGCGAGGGCTTTAAGAGTCGAAAGTTAATTACGAGTGATAAAATAAGTGAAGAAATAAAAGTGATTATTCAGAAATCTGAAGGAACAAGAAATCAAAATGAAAACTTTTTAGACGAAAAGATGCAAAAGCATGCTTCTTAACTGTCTACCCAAATATAAATGCGTTTATATAGATGCGCGTGTACGCTTCTACGAAATAGAAAGAGAAATCACATTCAAGTAGAAGAGATACAACGATATGCCGAAATCGATTTCGGATAATCGATTCTTACAGTTCATTTTCCATCAGTTCTTAAAGACGACGCACCTGCGTCTTGGTGTGTTTTTTTTTTTCTTTTTATCATTCTTTAGCTTACTTTACTCGTATTTTTCATCGTTGTTTATTTTTCTTTTCTTTCACCCTCACATTGGTCTTCTTCATCGTTGTCTTCACTTTTCTCGTCCTCGTATTATTATTGATACTATTATTGAAAAGAAGAGAAAAAGATTCCGAGTTCTATTAGGAGTAGCAGTCGTGGCTATGGCACTGGACTTGCAATTCAATTTTATTCTATACACGTGTACTCAATCTTACTACTGGCTTTCATACGACTTCGTTGCTTAAAAGTTCTCGACCCGACCCAATTTTATTTTATTCTTTTTCCTCCTTGGTTAAATTTAGAACATTTGCGTACAATCACAAGCATAGACGTAGTTGTATAATAACAAAAAAGAACCTGACCTAAATTATTAACCGATTATTATCCCCCATCTAAACCATATTTAAAACGCGCGGATGTTATAGTTTATATTAAATATAGACGAGGAATATTGTATATTTTTTAACTTAATATTAAAATAAATGGACATAAACCCATTATATATATATATATATATATATATATATATATATATATATATAATATTATTTGTGCGTATGGGAATATAACGAACCCAATTGGAGCAGGAACACGGCCATACGATTAACAATTTCGAGACATTATCCATTTCACAACTCGCAAATCTAATCACCTGGTACTTACAAGCATTCACCCATAGTGTTTCTACTAAATATAAGATATATATATATATATATATATATATATATATATATATATATATATATATATATATATATATATATATTGTTGGTAGGATCCACCTAATTTGTATAGTGGAGTACCGACCATATAAATATGGTTGGTACCGGGAAGAGAGGGAGGAATCAAGAGATTCAACCAGAGACTCTGCCCGACTGCGACTCAATCAACGCATTCTCCAGGAACGGTCTTACCAGGATTATACAAAAGACTATATGTAAATATTGTGTACACTTTCTTGTTTCAATACATTTTGTTCTAAGTACATTTTTGTGCATTATTATTTCATGCATTAGTCAAGTTTCAACATATATATATATATATATATATATATATATATATATATATATATATATATATATCAGCCTTCCCTGACGATCCGCTTAGGTGAAACCTTCGTAGGTTTATCTGGCTCTCTAGGTTTAACTAGGTCTCCTCTACTTACCGTATTGAGCACTTTATTTAGTTATTTTGCTTACTCGTATCGTTTTTTGTTTTTTTTCGTTGGACTTTCGATTTGCATGATAGACGATTAGAAGATATGGACTGAGCGTGTGAGCAACGATGAGGTTTTGGAGATGATGCAAACAAGGAGATACTTATACTTAACATCAGCAAGAGACAGTTTAAATTTCTTGGACATGTAATGAGAAAGGAGGGCTTTGAGAATTTGATACTTAAAGGGCGGATAAAGGGAAAGAGAGACAAGGGAATGCGACCCGTGTCATACCTCGCGGACTTAAGGAAGTGGATGACAGAACCGGGTTTAGGAGAAATAGCAACATTGACAAAACATTGGTAACTACAACGGATAGTTGGAAGTGGAAAGCCATAATCCCCTAAGTCTTGAGAGATCACGGCACATAAAAGAATATATGACAGTGAATGCTGAACAGTGTCCTCACCGATGAAGAGCACGATTTTAATATCGTATTTCTATAGAAGAATGAAATCCAGGGACTGAGTGTGCATATGCAACGTGAAAGTGTTAAAGAAAATGGAAACAAAAATTATACTTCTAGTTAGAATAAAAATAAATGAGGAATACTGGCTTTGAAAATTTACATTCTCAAAACATAGTGACGGCAGAAAAAAGACAAACATTACTACTAGTAGGTCGCGGGTGAGCTAGGATTGCCCACGCCATGAAAGAAAAAGTCAGATTGATGTAGAAGAAATCCAAAAATATTTATTTTAGCCAACTTCATTGTTATTTAACATAATCCCCTTCATTGTCTATTGAGTTAACTCAACGTTTTTCCATTAATTACATAGATCAACCATTATACTGTAAAAGTTTCAGGTCAAAATTCATCTAGTATATATGTGTTAACACCATTGATGTTGATTAACCGTTTTGTTTGTACTTCATCCATATATAATCTTGAATCAATCTTCCTCCAGAAATTCCCGCTTACCATATTTATGGAAGAAGGGACATATTTTTTTGTAATATGTAGAAAATTCATCAAATTTTCGAACTAATATTAAATTTAAAATTATCACATGAACTTATTTTAGTTCGACAAACAGGAAATGAAAATCTATATGACCGCAGCCTTACAAGTAAGAGAGGGCCCTCGCATTTACAAACACGTATGGGAAGAGATGTGCCCTTACCATGTAAGTATTCCATACCACATCTCAAACGAATCTACCGATAGAAGACAACAATCCTACTTACCCACCTGTTCAATATACTATTAATGATTCGCTGTTCTCATGACATAGGTATTAATAATTTTGATAAGAATGGTCTTGAACCAAAAATTAACATCATCTACCAAGTGTACAATGGAATAGAACTAAAGAAAAAGGATTAAAATGAAAGCAGTTATTTTACATATCCTGAGCAGTTATGAAAGCAGTTATGATACATATCCTGAACCAATAATAAAATATCAGTACGTGGAATTACTAAATGCCAAAAGATTTAAAAACCTCACTATATACCTCAGTCATAACAAATGTACTATAGAGAATTTGAAAACTGAACATAGCTTAAGCGGCAACAACACTGCAAATTGCTACAAATCCTAATGCCAATTCAAAAATTAAAATCATGTTCTTGTTCAGATCGAGATTTTCATGTGAGAATTTTCTAAGCGTATCTTACATGTGAGAAGCATGGGACAATCAGTGTGGATCGAACTCACTACTCAATCTTAATGGATCTAGCGAGACAACATGACAACCATTACATTACGTCGAAGTGTCTGTGAGACTTTCATATGTTTGCTATGCATTGTTTAAAACACGTTCAGAAATATCTAATATCTCAGCTGTATACAACTACTTCCTAAAATCAATGGTGAAAGGGGGGCTTTGAGCGAATGAAACCTTAAGGTCTTTGCAGAGATCATATTTCTTTGAACATTGTAAACTGACGCTGCAGATTCATAAATAAAGAAATGTACAAAATAACAGAAACCTTATCACTTGGGGACTACCATCAGTAGTAAATGAAATCCTCTTCAATAATGGAAAGTGAGATAATACCTGCTGCTCTTGTAAAACCTTTTTCCCTAAAATGTTTTAAGAGAAAGATTTTATAAATTTCACCGGAAAGCAGTACTATCTACTGCGTTATTTTATACCAAATATTTCCTTATAGGGAAATGAATGCTATTATCATTATCATCAGCAATTCGTGTGGATATAAGCGATCATTCCTCTTCAATGATTCCTTTAATTTATATTTTTTACTGTATATTATTTACTGTAATATTCAGATCTCTGGCGATGTTTAAATTCCCTAAATCTTTTGATTGGGACATAGTATGTTCGAAATCTCTGTATTTTCTATAAATATTTTCACAAGAAATATTCTAATGAACTTTCGCCTCTAATAAATCGATCGTATGAATTTAAACGCACTACAAGTTTGGCTAATATGTTTCTGTCTTTTACTCTTTAAACAGTATTTTCTATTAGGTTGTTACATATATTCTTTCGCTTTATTATAAAATTCTGCGAATTGATCGTGAAGAATAACCTTTCCTGGCATTTTTTTTGGTTTATTAGTAACTCTGCTTATCCTGTGAAACTGTTGTCTACAGTTTAATTTCATATTTGAAACCGCTTTGAGATGGAATGCCAAGTAGACCAGTATGGTTATGTTCGACATCTCTTTGCTTTTAATCAATGTCGCAAAGCTGCCAAACCTGCTCGGGACATTTGTGTTGTGCCAGAGTTGAAATACTTCAATACAACCAAAGCGTCAATACTAAGCTGTATGTTAAACAAATGAACAGGATCAAAGAGGCAATTCAGCTGAAAGGACCTGACCACAGAGAGAGTGTGATTATTCAACATATGAAACATCACCCTTGCCACTAACATAAAGAAATATGCTTCTAATAACTTCGCTTCGCAAGTCCTCTCACACCCACATATTCACCTGATTTAGCTCCTTTCGACTACCACCTTTTTTCGGTGGGTTTCTAACTATTTGAGGAGTGTTTCATTCAACAACGATGTGGAGTTTAAAACGTAACTTTTTGATAAACATCCTTACTGACAAACCATTGAACAATTAGGGACCGTTGTCAGAAAGTAGTAAACAACGGAAGGAGATACATTGTTGAACGAGTCCTGAAAACTAATAATAAATAATATGTATTAAAATAAATTATAAAAAAAGGAATGAAGTTATGAAAAACTGACATTATAACAGTTTCGTCTCTCATACTTCTCGCATGTGGAACTCTCTTCTGTTTTCTGTTGCCCTATTCAATATTCAAAACATTAAATCGAACTCAATCACCATCTTCTGTCTTCCTGAATTCAGTACTTTTGTTTTCCTTTCTCCTCATTAACTCCTTGTCTTTTTTGTTCATTCTTAGCATCATGGTTTTTCTTACTGAACTGTACTGATGCGGCATTCACCCCGGGCGGATTGAGCCGGCTTCTTCATGTTATGAGAAGAAGATTCTTGGGATAAATTACAGAAGTAGGGGTACCCAGGCCTACTCGGATAACGTTCTTGCTTGCCGCGGGTTCCCACAGACGCAGAGACAGGAACGACCAGAAGCCGCCGGTTACCGATGCAGACGCTCCTTGGATTTTCACCAGAGCCCTTGTTAGCCGCCGTGTGTCAGACCTGTCCGCCTTGGGTGGCCTACCAGGAACGAAGTTCCGGGCGGCATAGCTCTGACACTACCGTTTACACCCCCCCACCGACTGTGAGGTAAGGGTTGGACTTTGGTCAAATCTTACGGTCAAATCACGCTGAAAACACCGGTTCTCGTTCGATCACCGAAGTTAAGCATCGTAGAGCCAGTTCAGTACTTAGATGGGGGGCCGCTTGGGAACACCTGGTACTGTAAGCCCCCAAAGTCCAACCCAAAATGGTTTTTCTTGGGATGCAATGATTAAAAAACCTGCCAAAAAGTATTGTTAATGTTATTTTTTCTCTTCCTTTACAGAAAATAAGACGGATTTTTGCATAATTATTACTTAATCAAACGAAAAATTGCATAGAATATTACGAACATTATTTAAGAGTTGAAACATTTTGTCGTACGCTCGCTAGTAGATAACTGACACCTGTGGGAAGAGGAAAAAATAAAATTGTAGCATTAAGAAAAAGCTGAAAATCTATTTTTAAATAAGAAGAAAATAGCATAAACTAATAAATAAAAAGCGTTCATATGTATATACCTGGAGCAGAATGATAAAAATTGGGCGACGGTTTGATGCAAGCGAAAAATAGCGACGTTAAAATTATTCAGAAAAAATAAAACAAGAAGCGGAACGATTATATAAAAAAAAAAGACAGAAGAAATACTTATATTCAACAAAAAATTTAAAAAAAAAGCCCACTTCAATAAATAATAATCGTTCTCGATAAAATAAAAGGAAAAAAATAAAGTATGATAAATCTAAGAAAATAAATAAATAACAACCTATCACCGAAACTTATAGACAATAAAGGAATAAAAACAAATGTTATATAAATGAATATAAATGAATATAGATGAATATAAATGAATATAGATGTGGGCCCGAGAATTTAAATAAAATAAAATGAATAAAAATAAAAAATAAAATAAGTAATCCATTTTAATTTATTCAATCGATTTGCATTATCATTATCATCTTTGACTTATATGTTATTATATTCGCAACTTTTCAACCAAGTATACTCTGACCATCTTTAGATGTACATTGTTTTCAGTATCTCTCTATATTTGGGAGATGAGGTATTATGTACACTATTTACATTATTCGAACTATTGTCCTATTCTTCTTGGCCATATTTATTACAAAGTTTCAGCCGTTGTACGCTCCGGCCTTCTTCAGGTGGCTGGAATGTCGAACTGAACCCTTTTTTTTCGCTCATTGGGGTAGACTGTTCTAGTTCCACGTACCATGTTTAATGGATAAAGGCGTTGGTTAGATTCAGTGACAGGACCCAAAGAGTGTGAGTTCAATACCCGGTTAAGACAGTGGAGAACATGCAGAGGGAAATTAACCCCAGATAACTAACATCCGTTAAACATGTCACGTAGAACTAGAACAGTTTACCCCAGGGAGCGAAATAAATGGTTCAGTTCGACATTCCAACCACTTGAAGAAGGCCGGAGCGTACAAAGGCCGAAACGTTGTAATAAATATGGCGACAAAGATGAGGACAATAGTCCGAATAATGTAAATAGTGTACATTGTTTACGCTGAAATGGAATATATTTTATCCTCTTGTAGTTCCTTTCTCAGTGGAATATTGCACACATATAACCAAGCTATTTGATCTACAGTTAATACTATGTATTTTTATTAATTTGTTATTATTTAGACCTATACAAATTCCAAGTTCCTTACTGGTAATTACATATATCATCAGAAATATAATCACAAGGAATATATTAATTCTTCTTTATTTATCTTTCTATTCCCTACGAATTTATATTATAACGTGGTGTGTAATCCTTCAGTTTTTCTTCTAATTGTCTTTGAATTACTTTCTTGTAATCTTGCTGTTATAGACATAATATTAATGCTATCATCATTGGCAACACGTCATCTATGTTGAAGTTTCTTTTGTCTGATGACATTGCGCGCCAGATCTAAGACTTTTCGTCGATATCCTGTATTTTTATCAAATTCGTTTCTCCTCAATCACTATCAATAATTTGCCTATTTCATTTACTTCAGGGCGATCATGTCTATCCAAAATATATAATACTTTATGCCTCAGCAATGTTTGTCTTTTGTAAATTAACATGAAATCAATTTTCTGTCATCCATTTAAATGAAGTCGTTAGATATGTTACTTGATGTTCTCCTCCTGATTTCAATATGTCCTGCGAATGTCATATTTTCCAAGATTTCTGTGTCCCCGAAATATGAACAATCCTTATTTTATCTTAAGTAGCAATGACCAATCTGCTTTCATATTCCTGAGAAAATATCGTGAAACTAGAAACTTCATTCTCCGTCTATATTCCAATAGGCATCCTTCTGTAGAACGACATCTCGCTTAAATCAATCATTCCTTTTCTATATGAAGAAATCATCCAGTATTCATTACCATATAAGAGAATTGAGTTCAGCATTTATTTCATTGATTCAAACGAAACTTTTCCTGTTACTTTATGCTTTGCTTAGCTTCTGCAACGTAACATAACTAATTCCCCCTCTTCTGAAATTTCCAGTATCTGTTTCCATCGTCTTTTAAAACGTACGTCATTTAAATCTTTGTGCTTGCTTGATTTTGACATCTCGAATTTTTAGCTCACATCCTGGCCTATTCTTGTTTTTTCATAACAATAAATCCTGCCTCCTACAAATGCGTGTTATTTCCTTTACCGTTGCAGGAAATCCTGTACAATTGATTAAAGTCTCCTTTGTCTACGAATTCCTGCAGATTTCTTTCTAAATCTACGACAGTCACGATATCATCTACGTATCTTATGTCGTTTCTAGTGATAACAAAACCTGTTAGGACGTCTAGCCCTGTTAGAATCGGCTCGTTAAATTACAAGCCCACCAATGAAAATAGAGATAGGGACCCTCCATGTAATATCAATTATCGTGTTAGTCTTGTAAACAGTCACTACTTGTTGTGTTGTAAGGTTTTGCTCCATATATCGGACCTCATGCCAAACTATGTTAAGTTTATTTCATTTATTTTTTTTATTTTATAAAGCGTTGGTTCATGCCTTTTTTACATAGTAATTGTGGGCAGTGTGTACTTGAACTCATTAGAAATAGCTAAGCAGTACTAAAGATAAAAAAGAGATATCTCTAAACCTGGGCACTGGAAAGAGATCAGTCTATCTCAGGAGATTTATTAAAGGGTTTAGTTGAGAATTGCATGTGTACTGATATATAGCTGCAGAAGGACGAAGGTCACGACGGCCGAAACATTCTGATAACAAAAAAAAGATGAGGAAATTTGTTCGAATATAAATAATGTAATTCATCCTAAGTTTAGTAAATTTTTTTTTTTTTTTGCTTTGGCGTGATGTAATTGTTGGTTAGATTAATCTGGTTAACTATTATGACGATAAAAATATTTCAATTCCCTATGAGTTTCACCTACTCGTGTCCTTGTGTCATAAGAAACTTTAGTGAATAAAGAATACCCAATTTTCTAAATATCTAACTTGGAAAAACGTAACCGTGAAAGCAAAAAAACGAGATAATACAGTTTTCTAACCAACCAACAAAAACTAATGTATTTCTTCCTGGACAAATACTTTCACTGTTAATATTCAAGAGTATATTGTTAACTGAATCTGAATCTATGAAGGCCTGCTCAGGTCTTCGTTACATGCAGATGTAAGTTTATTGTAAATCCTGTTTGAATATAGATCTACTGCGAATATTATAGCGTATATCTGGAAACAAAATTGCTTTTTATATAGGTTCATTTTTATATAATTAAAACATACCGTCAATTTTGCTGAAGGCTAGACAAGTAAATAATTAGTTTCCCCTGTACCATCAGAAATGTATTTCATTTTCTAATTACATTGTACTCGTGAAGTATCAAATATCTTAGGATAATATGTATCGTCTTTTTTTATGTTTAATACTTAATGAATTATAGTTTGTTCGTCGCCTTTGTGTAGTGAAATATCAGTCTATATGTAATTATGTTTTGAATTTAGTGATGACATTTTGAAGAAGTTTCTAGGATTGTAAGAAGTACTACTTCATCAGTTTCTAGAGGCAAGTATCTCACAAATATCTGTTTGAAGGGCCAAGCCGATGAACAAGGCGGACATTATTGAGACCACCCTTCAAATAAAAGTTACACTCGCGATATTAACAGTGATAATTGCTATACGATAATTCTCATCACAAATTTATCTTGCACCTTTATAAGTTTACTATTCTTTCATATATTGAATATGAAAGCTACTCCTGGTTTGTTGCTTCTGCTAAGTTTTTGGATATTCTTGATCAAATATAAGGAAACATGTGTAATATTATCGGTCCTGAAATGGCATTTCGGATTTAGCCACTTTGCTTCCACCATACAGTAGCTCACCTGGGTTTCTTTTGTCATTATTTTCTTGTTAAGTTTTATACCTCTTTTGTACCTCTGCTTCCTGACAATAAGCGGAGTAGGAGATTAGCAGCTGGATGTCATCTTATTACAGCTGAAATTATTAGATTTCTCCGTACCGTTTCTTCTCACATCTCCCTCAGTCATATTTGCACCTGTTGAACTGTCCGCCGACCTTTGACATTCTAGTCAACTTTTATCTTCAAAAATTTAAATTCAGTGTCAATCGTTATCTTCTGTTTTCTTAGTTCCTGTCCTTTTACAGTTCTCTCTCCGTTATGATGACTTTGTGTCTTAGTGGCTTTATTGCTTTGTTTCGGGTGAAACGATTAAAAACAAAACAGTGAAACTATGGAACATACACACAGTGAGAGCAATCACCTTATATATAACGGCGGACAGCCATTGTTGTTTCGTCCGCGTGTTTGATTTATTGAAATTCACATCTTTGATAATGGCTTCCAATAGAAAATCTATCGGATATAAACTTTGCAATACAGAACGAGAAGCGCTCAACTCTAAAAGTTGCCACCGGAATCCACATAGTAGACACTACAGTAAGTGATCATGAACTAAACGACTATGTTCAAAGATTTTATTCAAGGCATAATCAGCCCTACTATAGAAAATAAAAACGAAAATGCATTACCAATGAGATACCAAAATGCACTAAAAACGTAGTGGGGAATAAGAAAATCCACACCAAAGGGAGTGGAACCATGATATTGAAAATTATGCATGCATAGAAATAATTATCTGTCTACTGAATGATATCGACACATACCAATAAAATAAATCAAAAAAAAGTAAT